ATATATAAAAAAATAAGCCGACTTGGAGCACACTGTCGAATCGATCGACGTCGACCAACATTAAAAATTCATATACGTAATAATGACAGACAAAACACTTCGCCCAACGTGGGGCTCGAACCCACGACCCTGAGATTAAGAGTCTCATGCTCTACCGACTGAGCTAGCCGGGCGGATATGCGATGAAGTTTACGAAATTGTTTACTACCATAGCCAGTTTCAACTATTGTAACGCACTATCGGCAGAGACGTGCAAAAATTAATCGTGCACGCGTCCACCACGACGACGTTTCACCCGTAATAGTTTACGATAGCTTGCAAGCGACGCTAAGAGAAAACTTACCTTGGCACAGTATCGTCTCTCCGGTGATGTTATGGTAAATAGCTCGGAATGATAGAAAGCGAATAAAATCCGCGCCGGATAGGAAGACGAAGGCAAAGTTAAGCAAAGTGACCGTGCACAGAGCACAGCCACGGACCGTGAATGACGCCATTTCCATCATGCTTTATGTTCATTTCCACAGTGCTGTCTGTCTTCCGGGACAGGAACGAGTGGGAGTTGCAAAGAGCGCCACGTGGGGGCGCCATAACAATGTTGGAAACGTGAACATTTTTTGGCGAGCGTTCATGCGAAACACCATCCAGGCATCCATTTCCCGAATCAGTTATCCTCACACCCGTGTGAAAATATCCGGTTCAGTGCAGTCAACTCTCGCAATTCGCGTGCAATAGGGACCGGGCGGGCCCGCAAATAGCGTTGTCGCCCATTGAAATGCATTGGAAAAGTGACTAAATAGTGCGTGGATATGCAAACCGCGAATACCGAACTGGTTGACTTTATATTCAAAACAAACAACGCCTTGAAAACATACATCACGCGCTATAAGTACCTCTAAAGAAATAGAATATTGTAGAAAAATGCATTCACTTGTCTTGTTCAGTTCCTAAAATCAAACACAGATTTATTGAACCTGAAGGAAAATATGTTTCAGTCATTATCATTATGTGATGTTACTGTTTGTTTTCAGAGGTGATCTAAAAAAATACAAAAATGTAACACTGTCTAATCACTCCTGGGACTGGACATATTGCAGGCAAAAATTAAACAAGGTGCAACATTGTATAATTCCTTCTATGTACAACAATCTTCTCTTCTAACAAAGTCAAAGTCGCATCCATAGCACTCTGTGTGATAGTTTTTGTTAAACGAAACTCTGTGCAACCCTGAAAATGATGACAGAAAGCTGTTAACAGATGATCATCATTGAAATTTACAGATTCCCAATTGTGAGCCCATCTCAACTGGTACGATGGGCTTATTAAGCAAGCGGTGCAGCAAGGAGTCCGAAACCAGCAACAGTCATTTCACGTTAAACCCGTCTTGCGGCTCCTGGCTTCAGTATACAGAGCAGTAACTGGGTGTGACCTACTGTTTGGTGAGTCAATAAACCTACCTGTGGTAGTCGTTGATAGTTAACCATCTCACCAGTGCCCACAGTTAAGGGGACATTCTCCAGGCATTCTCTGCATGCAGCACAGCGGAAACAGTGTTACGACTTTCCATGAGCCTGTACCACCTGGTCGTGCACACACACTGCGTTTTAATCCCACCTACACAAACATACACAGAATTATACAGTATACCTTACTCACTGTTACTACAATCAAATGACCACAGCTGGAACGCGCTTCAGGGGATGGATGAATTTCATTGTAGGAATATCATATAATATCATTGTCTGTCCTTGAAAGCACACAATGGTCACTGAAATAACATGACAAGCCACGCTTCTAGGAGGATGTCCTTTCAATGAATGAGACAAAAGTGGAGCTAATTGGCAAGTCAAATGAGCTCTATTTTTACAGATGCAAAAAAAAAAAAAAAAAAAAAAAAAAGAAGCATATGAAGAAAATGAACACTGCGCTTATTGTGATACATTTAGGAAGCCCGGTTTGTGTTCTGGGCTATTTTGCTGTTTTGAATCCGTGCAAAGCTACAGGCCACGATCTTCCAAACGGATAATGGCCCAAAATAAATAACTAAAAACATCCGTTGGCGAAGGAAAACACATTTAACTACTATAAAGCTCCGGTGAGGTCTTTGTTTTAACAGAAGAGTAACAACAATTTTGTCCCTGTGTGGAAGCGTCTATCTATCAAAAAAAAAAAATCCTCCCAATAGATAGTTCCGTTCACTATATAAAATGCCTTGCCTTGAAGATTTTTGACCTAATGGGAAACAAATTTGTTTCACTAGTCAATTAAAGGGAACAGGAGGAGGGTAAGTGTCATTTCATTTCATTTATTCTGACATCACATGACAATGTATGACTGCTTAACAAGCACTTGCCCTGTATTGCGTTTATATACACATAATGGCCACGAGACGGCTACCATTATGTAATGCGATTACAAATTCATTTGAACATAATCTATACTTATTAGATCTTCGGCGTGGGGTAGAACTGCATCAAACTGATTTCTAAAATGTTGCAAAATGTATTTCGTTGCACGAGAGTCTTCATATTGCAATATAATATTACAAACTCATTCATTCATCCATTATCCGAACCGCTTCTCCCCTCAGCATAAGACACTGGAGTTCTACGCCATTGCAAACAAACATATACCATGCCAATAATCGATTATTTCAAAGAAATCAAAACATGTACATTAGATAATCCAGTTTTTAAATCATCATTTTTTCAAAATAAAACTTTGAACTGGTACCCATTTCCTCCTTTTCCAAATTCTGGAAAAGCATTTTGACAAATAACTTCTGGTGTCACGTATCATGTTATGTTAGTGTTGGATCCCCTAAGGTGCCATGGAAAGAAAATAAAAACTTTTTGAATGCGCGTTTATGTCCTTCTGGGTCATCTTCCGGGTATTTTTAAAACAACAAAAAATGAGCTTTTGCCCATGGGCGAGTTTTATTGAATTTGACTTTTAAATTGGCTTGAAATGCAAAGACAGAACATCTCTTCTTGATCTTAAGCACGGTTTCCAAATAAGCGAAAGACATCTGACGCGTTTTGTCATCTCAGCCGCGCGTTCGAAGCTGTAGGAGCCAAACTGACCCGGAAGTACATAAACGCGCATTTAAAAAAAAGCATTCCCTTGCAAAAAAAACTTTGCCAAGGAACGCAAAGTTGCTTTTTTTCCCCTTTCATGTCACCATAGGGGCTGAGAAGTAAATAAATACTGTACCCTAGAAAAAAAATTGACCAGTACACAAGTCCCTGACTGTGATAAGAATGGAACTGAATCCTCTTTAAACCCAGTTTACGAAATAAGAAAAAGACTAAAAACACATTTGTGGATGAGGCTGTGCAATTCCATGCATAAATTGTCGATTCCCTTTCGATATTTTTCCCAGGGGTCACGGAAGGCAGACGGCACCCTGGATTGTTCTCCAGTCAACCACCAGCCGCATTTCGACAACGATAACCATTCACCTCATTGAATGGGATTTGAAAGCCACGTTTGCCCCCACCATCAGCGAGTGTGCGATTATACTCAACAACCTCAACTACACTTGTCAAGTCTTGTGTGTCTGCCCTCGTGTGGAGTGTCCAAGCTCCAGCAGGAGACCCGCCCATGCGCAGCAGGTAACTCAACGTCGTTTACCATCTTGATGAGCTACAGTTTGGTATCCCGACTTTTCCAACTCTGCATTCGACTCTCGAGCCGTCTCAGCTGCAGACGAGGCGTCATCTCCCGTCTGAGTGTGGGAAAGACACATTTGCCATGAAACCTTATTCCCTGGTATGAAAACATGCAAACTCGCCTGCCCTCGCAAGCGTGCATGTGTGCTTGCCCCACTTTTACACTAGCATGGGAGGGGTGGGGGGTGACAGCTGCTGAGTTCTTCACTGAGCTCCCTTGTTTGCAGGCGCAACACTTGGAGCCACCAAAACGCCCACTCTGCATGCTGTCAGACTGGTTCAACTAAAACATCAGCGGCCTTTGCAAATCGCTTGCGTGTCACTGGATTTGGGGAAAGTGAAGATCACTACAGTGTCATTTAAAAGGCTTTTTATGATTTGAAAAAAAAATAGATACGATGTGAAAGACACATTCAGAATAAGAAGACGATGGACATATCACGTAGGGATAATGTGAGAAAACTAATATGACAGACAAATTATGCGTTTATATTTCAATATACAGTGTGTATACGCGTGTGTGTGTGTGTGTGTGTGTGTGTGTGTGTGTGTGTGTGTGTGTGTGTGTGTGTGTGTGCGAGTGTGTGTCAAGTAGTCTTGCCCTCGGGGATGTTTTTGTTCAGGAATGTCTCCGTTATGTGGCAAGTGGAGGCAGGAGGGAGCCTCTGCAGCGCCGGGAGTGAAATTCACTGCTCAGGCTTACTATAGCGAGCATCAAGCACGTTAGTCACATTCGGAGCATTTCCCATGAAGTAAAATGCTCCTCCCAAACCATAAAAAGCTCAGCATATTAATTTGCAATGCTTCTTTTTCCACAACAAACATGCATGACCTTTGTCTGAATGCTGGTAAAATTGGGTCTGTTGATTTTGAGCAACAAATCTACCAACATTTTATGGAAGGTAGTCTGGTCGGACAGTTTTTCAAGTCCCCACAAAAGTTGGCTGAACTCAAAATTTCAAGAACAAAAGGATCAAATTAGCAGCTTTACAGTGTGGCATAAAGATACTAGGCCACGTCCATCACAAAAATAAAGGGTGGGGCTTGCTGTTCCAATACTTTTGAAAGGCATTCACTCCTGCCCTTTCTTCTGAAATGTTCTTTTTTCACTTTGTTCCGTTACACTTCTATGTTTTCAAAGCCACCGCAGACGCTTTTATAACGAAGCTAACAAAGAGCAACTATTAACTTACTACATCCTGCTTTTTTTTTTTAACAAGCATGCTGGGAAAGGCGTGGCGTCACCGATGCTCCAATATCATTGTCTATTGAAACATTCTCATAACGCTTAATGTTGCTAAATCCGCGTGGCTTCTGAGTCCTCTCAGCCGCTACATTTCCCTGCTCTGTTTATTTTTATTTTTATTTTTTTCTGAAGGCAGATAGAACGCCGTTTTTTCAGCACAGTCATTGAAGCCCAACGTTACCGGTTAGCGTGAGCTCGGTGTGCCAAGTATTCGAGCGCACACAGCAAAGAATTAATATTGTGTGTGCGTGTGTGCGTGTGCGTGTGTGTGTGTGTGTGTGTGTGTGTGTGTGTGTGCGCGCGTGTGCGCGTGCGCACAAACGCTTCATTTCCCCCCCCCCCACACCCTGCGTGGTGTGGTATTCGCGTACTGTGACAAGCGTCCCAGGCATATTTCAGCGCTTATAAATAGGAGAGTCATTGTCCCACACGCCACATAAGAAGGGAAGTGTTTTTTTTTACGCGGCGCGTATGGGATTTGTATTCGTCGGGAGTGTGAGCTCACCTGTCAGGTTTGAACAGGTCAGCGTGCCCGCGGACCACGCCCCTGCTGCTCAGGTAAGCAGGAAGTGGCTGCCTGACAGCGCCGTAATGCGGGACCGAGGCGAAATGCGATTTTGACACACTACAACTGGCCCTTTCGCACGTTTTTTTTTTTTTTCTTTGTTGAGGGGAGGAAATTTACAAACATTATCCTGGACGTGTTTTTGCAAGTAAGGAGGATTGCAGGCTCAAGCGAATCATGCGGCTCGACACCTGCGCGCCGCTCGGACTTTTGTTGTTGATTATCCTCGATTCATCAGGTGAGACTTTGTGCGGAGGACGGTTAAGTTGCCCGATGAAGTCATTTTGAAGGTGTGTTTTCCTGAAATGTGTGTGTTTGGCTGGCGGATTGGCTCTCCGCGCCGCCGTGTCGCGTTCTGCCGGCTGCAACCGAAGCAGCACTTTTTTTTTTTTTGTAAGGCACGATAATGGTGACGTCGTATCTCGTAAAACGCACCGAGCCGCGCGATTACGTGATAGAATTCGCAGCGGAGGTATTTAGTTTGACACATCGCTCTTGTCCTTTCAAATGTTTATGGGGCGTTTTTTTATGGCGCTTCCTCGGAGGCTCGAATTGATCATCTCTTCATTAATAATTGACTTGCAATCTGCTACAGAGCCGTGACTGTTCTTTTGTGGAGCAGCAACTGACCTTTTTAATCCAGGTTTAAAGTTGTATTCCCCGTTGATGGACATCATTGCATGTTGGAAGGGGACTAGCATGTTGAAAAGTGAATATAAAGGGAAAAAAATGCCCGAAATATTACAAAATGATGGCGTGGTGGCATAGCAACCCCAACAGATAAATACGTGCCCCTCGGTGCCATAATCGGAAGGATATGCCATTAGCTGCCCCCTGATTCAACAGAATACATTTTTGGAAGTATGCATAACGTGTTAATAGTATGAGTGTAGCTCATATGTGTCAATATTACTGTAGTGACAATTTAATTTCCCTCACGAGGTGTCTATCGATCTATCTTGTGCAGTACCGCCATCACGACTCACATTAAAATACAGGAGTGCAGTATGTCTAAGTGTTCAGGAAAATAAAATGATTGCATCCTGCACGGGCGGCACGGTGCAGTTTGCATGTTCTCCCCGGGCCTGCGTGGGTTTTCTCCGGGTACTCCAGTTTCCCCTCACATTCCAAAAACATGCATGGCAGGCTGATTGAACACTCTAAATTGCACCTAGGTGTGAGTGTGAGCGTGGATGGTTGTTCGTCTCTGTGTGCCCTGCGATTGGCTGGCAACCGGTTCAGGGTGTCCCCCGTCTACTGCCCGAAGACAGCTGGGATAGGCCACCCTTGTGAGGATGAAGTCGATTGGAAAATGGATGGATGGATGGATGGATGCATCCTGCACAGCACTTTGTCTAAATGTCGAAGAATTGTCCTCAAAAGTTAAATACAATCGAATTGTACTTGGGCAGTAATTCACTAGTGTTGCTCGCACCACACTGTGCATGTGCACGTGTTAAACAAAATAAAATTGCCTTGTAACATTTGACTTGGTCCGATCTGTTCCTTCAGACTGCATACAGCTGACAGTCCGGCCCGACAAAGGCTCATCGGTGACGGTGTCAAATGGCCTGCCCTCGGACGAGTGTACAGTGTGCACAGTCGGCGGGGTCAATGACACGCAAACGTCGTGCTTCTCAATTCTTGCTCTGGAGCCCGAGAAGGAGGTTGAGCTGCTCTTCAACTGTCCCGTAGAACAGTCTTACATCGTCACACTCAATCAGCTCATCGGTGAGTTAACAGATGTAGCTGTGGAAAGTCATTGTTTGTCATACTACCCACAGTCAGGGTTTCATGAAATAAAATGCACACATATGCAGAACCCGCACAAAATAAACCTCGCACCAGACCAATGTGCGCCTGTTCTCTTCCCTTCTCTTGCTATGCAGAATGCACAAAGGACACTTGCAACCCCTCAACAGTGGAAACTCAACCCTCCTTCCTTAGCGAGTTCCCACGAACATTCATCTGGACCATCAAGGCGCCTGAGAAGACAGTGGTGGGATTGGATGTCCTCGGAGAGGGACTGCGGGAAACGTCACAGCCGTGCAATAACGGATATCAATATTCGGTGACCACGTTCGAAGAGAACAGCAAAGCGGTGGCTCGCTACTGCAAAGTGGGTTCCGTGACCCATTTAGACCTGCTCGATCAAGCTGTTGTCTCTCTGCAAGTTACACCAAAGACGCCGGTGGAGTCTGTGGTGTTCCAGGCCTCTGCTGGACCACTAAGTAAGAATATTGCCTGTACCATAGATTCCGATACCACCGTTGTAGCTGAGCATGTTTCTCCCTTCATACTACAAACTCCGACCACATTATAATATAAAGCATTAATCAGGACTGAGCACTGTCATCTTAACCCGGGGGTCGGCAACACGCGGCTCCAGAGCTGCATGCACCTCGTGGCTCCTTGGAGCTTTATAAAAAATGTTTGAAAATCGAAAAAGATGTGGGAGGGAAATTTATTTTTTTGTTTCTGTCGGAGTAAAAACATGACACAAACATTCTTAATGTTTCCCAATGCTGTAAAAATGTGTACTTATATAGATATAGATACATGTTGCAGCTCCGAAAAAAGGAGTTTTTTTTAAAAACGTACACTTTATGCTTTTGACAGTCTCGACAAACACAGGCACGTCTGCGTCCGACTCCTTGCCTTCTCTCCTCTGTTTGACTCGAGAGGCGTTCAAAGACAGCCTCCGAAAAACGGAAATTAATGATCACTTGAATGTCACAAAGAAAAGTGAAAATAATCCACCAAAACAGAAAATCAAGCGAGGAAATCAATTCTATAGGGGCGTTTGTGAACACACAACAAAGGAATGAATAACAAAAACAATTCTGAGACAGTCCAGTCTCCGACATACATACAGCATGTGTTTCCTTCATTGTAAGTTTTATAGAAGGCTTTTATTTTTTTCCGGCTCCAGACATATTTGTATAAAGTTTGTGCATGCATAAGTAATTGGGTAGTCTGAAATCCAAAACACAGTGTATGTACTGCGTAAATTAAGGGAATGCTGTTTCTGGTCCCGCTTTCCCCCGTTCAGAAGGCCGGACGGTGGTCGTGACCGTCGATTCCGCCACGACTCTGACGATCAGCAGGTTCTCGCAGGAGCCGCAGTGCGAGCTGTGTACCGGTGCCGACTCGGCCCGTACCTGCAGCCAGACCGAAAAGAGCTTGACTGACGTCCAAAGTCTCGCGCTGGAGTTCAGCTGCCTCAAACCTCAAGAGGCATACAGCGTAGAGGTGAAGAAGACAATCGGTGAGCCCTTAAAATGAAATCAATATTTGACGGGTTTGACAAAATCTGTGTGATGCTCATCTCACGCTCCTCTTCTCAGAATGTACCAAGAGCTCATGCGCACCTGCCGCAGGAGAGCTCAGTCCAAACCTCTGGAAGGACTTCAAAAGAACCCTAAAATGGGACATCAGCGTCCCGGAGAGGACCGTCTTGACCTTGGAGCTGCCTCGCGACAACCTGAAGCAGATAGCCGCGCAAGACAAATGTCAAGGAGGCCCACAGTACTCCGTGAGCACAACAAGAAGCAACGGGCAGATCAAGACCAACAGATACTGCAGAGGCGGGCCGCTTTCCCGTCTGGATCTCCTCGGGAGGACTGCCGTGACCGTGGAGGTGCCCGCAGGAGAAGAAATGGACAGGACGATTTTCACAGCCAAAGCAGCACCCAGAGGTAAATCTCCCTTCTCCTTTATACATTCATTTCATGCATAAAAATGTGATGCTTATATTTGATGTTTCCTTTATCACCAGCTGGCAGGATGCTGTCTGTGACCCCTGACCCGGAAACCATCATTATTATCAGCAGGGACACGGTCGAACCCGACTGCAGCGTGTGTGTGGACAAACCGCCCAAGCAGACATGCGATCCCAAAATTCGAATTCTGAGAGAATCCCGTAACACGTCTGTGGAGTTCACCTGTCCTCACCCCGAAGAGGTCTTCACTGTGGAGATCAACAGAGAAATCGGTAGGCAAATGTAAACACCGAGTGTATTTGCGTTCCAGAACCGCAACATTAGCCACACTTAAAAATCCGTTACGGAGGTATATTAAGACGGGAAGACATTGTTGGTCATACCATCCGCAGTCAGGGCATCGTGAAATAAAAATGCACGTGTATGCAGTCTAAGTAAGAAAAAAAAAATAAAAAATGTCTGTTGAAAGTATTTCTGACTTTCTGAAAACCCTATTTGTTTACATAAGCAAACATTTAGCTCGCTCAAATCCCTCCCGGTAAAAATCTGATCAATTTAAAATGCGTATTGACACAAATCTGTCACATGGTCCCACCGGCGCTCGTCTTTTCATGTCATTCCAGACTGCACGGCGACTTCCTGCTCTGGCGATATTGTCCAGGCTGAGTCGTCGCTGTTCCCGGACTTCAACCGGACTTTCACCTGGGATCTGAAAGTCGGTTCCACTCGGGCCTTCCAGCTGGACTTTCCCGAGCCGGGAATGCAGCAGATCGCCAATGACGAGACGTGTCCCGATGAGCACACATACGTTCTTGTGACTTACCTGCGAACGGGCCCTGCCGACATCGGAACTTTCTGCAAGGGGGGTTCTGTGACGAGTATCCAGGTGCGCTACAAGGGCCGCGTCTCTCTCCGGGTGCCAAGAGACCGAAAGATGGATCCGGTTAATTTTAAACTCAGCGTTGGGCCGGAGACCAGCAGTAAGTGGATCGATTCATGTCACTATTTTATTGATTGTATAAAATAGGATCACAACATTGGAACCAGAAGTAGTCGCATTCAAACATATATAATGATCAATAACTTCTGTCCACTCTTGTTGAGCCGGAATATCCTCCCGCCTCCTTTTCTTTTTTTCAGTGGTGGCCATTGTGAAAGTCAACCTACCACGAGGCGTCTCCAACACGACCTTCATTTCCGCCAACTACCCCAACGATTTCCCCGACGACCAACAGATGCGCTGGGACTTCGCCGTGCCCGGCATGCACAACTACACCGTCCATTTTCACAGTCACACGGCGCCGGAGTGCCTCGGCAAGAACGTGGGCGTGGAGTACGGGAAACGGGACGGGAAGTTGATCGAGACGGGTCTAACGGACAAGCAGCCGGAGCATCAGCAGGGCGACTTTGAAATGGTGCTGAAGAACTGTGAAACCAACAGGACGTTGCAGGGACTCACTTTGAAATACAGTGTGTCCGTTATGAGGAGTGGTCATCCAGGTACAGTCCACGATCAGTCGTCGTAGTTTTTGCATCATGGTAAGAACACGTAAGCGTCTTTTGTTTCAACCCAATGTAATTGATTGTCTCCGCCCTCCTTTTTTTTGTTGTTGTTTCCTTGTCAGTTCTGTGCACGGTGGACCTGAGCAAACACCCCAAAGTGTCCCTGCAAATTGAAAAAGTGGGTTCTGATGCCTATTGCGAGATGAGCGTGAACGCTGAGGTTTTAAAAAAGGTCAACGTGGCTGCCGGCAGCAAGGCCGAGCTCTCCTTCCTCGATTGTCCCAATGAAGATTTGCAATTGACCGCTAGTGAAGTTATTGGTAAGAATTTTGTATTTTATTTTATTTTTTTTTGTTCACTGTAATATCACGTGACTCAGAAGCGACGCCACTCGAGCGAAGTGCGCCTCAGCAGTCAATAGTCTGCTGCTCTCTGCTGTGCGCGCGTCTTTTGACTTCAACCAACAACAGCTAAACTAAGCTAGCAGACACGACGCTCGAGGTCGGACGGACACGTTCTTTCTAGTACCCTATGTGTTTCCTTTTTTTTTTTTTTCTGTCCAAATATATATTTTTCTACTACAATAGCTGTCTTGTCCACGGCGTCTTGTTTCGTTCCACCGGGGTTTAGCTAATGTGTTTATGAAGAGACGAAAATCTCTTCAGTGGCGAGCTAGCAAGGAGCGGGGTTTAGCTAATATGTTTATGAAGAAACAAAAATCTCTTTAACTCTTTGTAAGTCATCTATTCTTATTTTCCCCAAAACCAGCTTGTCATAATGTGGCTTCGTGCTCCGAGACCCTCCTCACTGTCCCCCCGTTGGATGCCTGTCTCCGGATGCCCCTCCACAGCTTTACTTGGCACCTCAACATCCCCCAGGACCGCACCATCGATCTCGTGTCCCCATCGGGAAGTCTCCAACAATCGGTGCCAGGCCAGGAGTGCAACGCTACCGTCTCCTTCCACGTGGAGGAGAGCGAAGGCTTCTCTGTGGGTGATTACTGCCCCGACGGGAACATCCAGAAACTTCAGGTGCACGCCAACATCTCCGTCACGGCGACGACGCGAGACTTCGGCAAGACGAAAGGGCCTTTTCTCAACGTCACCTTCACGAAAGAGATCCCGGGTAATTTAATTTGAATTTCAGTTTTAAAGTCATGAATGGACTTCGGTTGTGGTTGTCTGCCTTGCAGATTTACATGTGCAGATACAGATGACAAACTGAGGTTTTTTTTTTTTTCTTCCTCTGTGAAGCACAGAGGGAAATCCAAACCCAAATGATTCTACATTTATGACTATCGCAGTACATTCACAAATAATGCAAATCTTGTTTTAGAAGAAGTAGAAAAAAAAATAAGACTGTAGTTCAGACCTCAGGTCCAAATGGCCGACGATGGACAGGGTAGGGGAGAAGTCCCGAGCTACAACAGCAAACATTGACTCACTCTAGATCAGGGATGTATTTTAGTTTTGGTTGCCCTGTAAACGATGATTCCGCGCAATCGAAAACCGCTAAGGGATGTTTTTTTTTTTTTTTTTTTTTTTTGCGTGTTAGTGTGCATGCGTGTTTTAACAGGATTTATTGACTTTCAAAATGAAACAACAGTAGCTTCAATTTTTGCTCGATGTAGGTGCAAATGGAGCACATACACTGTCCTGCCACACGAGTGCGCTGTTGCACTTGTACACAAAACTGCGTCCTGATTTCTTTTTTTTTTGTAAATTTATTTATTTATTTATTTATTTTTATTTTTGGGATTGTGCCCTTTTCCAGAGACCATCATTTATCAAGTCAACCCACATACGTCCTCCCCAAACCTGCTGACCACCCCCAACTGGCCCAGAGGAATGAGGCCTTCGTCCACCGTGTCCTGGATCGTGTCTTTGCCGAGCGGGTACAAGGCGCAGGTCCAATTCGTCAACGTCAGCCAGCCCAAATGCAACGACAGACACACGGCCATCAAGGTCAAGACGCTGGACTCCGAGGAAGAGCTCCTGACCCGCCGGGAGGACGAGAAGACCGACGACAAGTTGCTGGTGCCGCACAGCTTCTATCTTAACATGTCCAACTGTATACCGGAAAGTGGAAACTTTGGGGCAGTCACCAAAATCGTTTTAGAGCCAAAAACCGGTAAGAAAATGGTCACTTGGGACGCCATTTATGACTGCAAAAATACATTGAAAAGACTAATTAATGGCGTTTCTTTTGCTTTCACAGGCCTCTTAGCCATCCTTCTTGGGATCGCGGGAGCCCTTCTTCTTCTCCTCATCATCTTAGCTGTAGTCTGCTTTTTTGTAAGGTCAGTACATCTGCAGCAACACCCTAGACGAGGATTTTTGCACTTTTCGGTATGTAGCAGTTGCGTAAATGCAGTTTAAGAATGTTTCGGGAAAGTTCTAAATGTTTTTGGAATTTTCATTTGTTGAATTCCCTTCAGTTTTTTTTTTTTTTTATTTGGTTCATTTCAATTTGTTTTTATAGCGCAGTTACAAGCTTTTATTAGTTTTAGTGTTCATATTCGGGGTTTTTTTTGTAATACTGGCTAATTGTGAATACAGCAAACAAGTCAACATGTCGATTTCAAATCAACTTTGAAAGCTTGGGTATGAAAATGAAACTAAATAACTTTTTGCTTTAATTCTAGTTCTTTTAGAGGCCGTTTTTTGAACAGGCAATACAGTTTTGGTTATCGAAAACGTTTCAATTCTAGTTTGTTACGTAGGTCATTTTTTGTTAACTATAATATCCTTGTAACATTGTTGTCAGAGTTGCTCGCTAGGATTGAAAGTACAAAAAAAAAAAATTTTTCTACTGTGATTGACTGGCGGGACGAACAGTATTTTTCTGTATTAAAAACAAATTTTCGGGGACCGTCTGAATCGGATTCATGATATTTCGATTCATTTCAGTGGGGCATCGTGTTTTTGTTTCCACACAGGAAAAAGAAAAAAGAGCGCATGAACAAGGAGGCGTCCATCTACCTCGGCACAGGGAATATGTTCCGTCCCAGCAAAAGACAGTTCAGCAAATCGCGGTCGGACAACGAGTCCCACGTGTACGCCTCCATAGACGAGACCATGATGTACGGTCACCTCCTGGGGGAAACGAGCTACGCCGATAGCATGCAAGACCATTTCAAAGGAATGCAGTTGGACTCCTACCAAACGTTCACGGGCCCCTCTGAGCTGCCCGTCATCAACGAACCGGAAGCGGAGCCCGAGGTGGACACCTTCAATACGTTCCTGGACCGCTCCCAGTCGTTCATCCCGCCTCGTCCGCGCACGCCAATCGACCGGCAGGACAGCTTGGGGTTCCAGGACCGCCGGATGGTGGACAATGAACTCTACACGTTCAAAAACACGGGCGAGATGAACACCATCCGACTGTCCGGTGCCGACATGGAACCGGAACCACCGACATCGGAGGAGTACTTGAAAGACTTTACACTGCGGGATGATGATGATGATGATAAATGATGATGATTCCTGTTACTTCTCAGAGAGGGGAACTTCTGTGCCTCAGTCTCGCTCAGGGAATTGAGTTGAAACGTTTTTGTTTGTTTTGTTTTTTTTTAACTTGAGCTTCATCAGAATTTTCAAAAAGCTTCCGGAAGAGGTGCTGAGAACTTATTTTTGTGCCCTCAAAAAAAAAATCCTTTTCTATTTTTTCAGTCTCTGCCCATGTGGTTTGGATTTGGATTGTTTTTAGTCTGTTTTTATTTACCTGTAGTTTTTTTTTTTTTTTTCTAACAATAAATTTTAAGGAAAAACTGCACTGCCCTCATTTGACCGAAGCACTGAGGTTTTCAATTCTGGATGGGAAAAAAAATATTTCCACCGCAGAAACGTGGTCCAGGACAAACATGGTTGGGAAGAAGTCCTGTCAGATCCAAAGTGGCAGCTCCCGTAGTCCAAGTTTTTACATAGTTTTTTTCCACCAATTCATATAATTATAAAATCTTAAAACCCTTTTTAGGTCGGCGCAGTTGATTTGTGGTGAGCAAGTTTGCTTCACAAATTTGGCTCGTGACCCGTCCAGGATCCGCCACAGTTAGAATAAGCTCCCAACTCACTCATGTCCCTTGATGAGGACAAATTGTACAGAAAAATGGATGGAGGGGGGAAAAAAAAGCCTTTTGGGAAGAAAACAGGAATGTTATGAGTCTGGGTTAGGTGGACAATGTGCTTTTATTACAGCTTATTTAGGTTTCAGGTTACATCAGGCTAGACATGATCTAACTTCTGGATTTAAAAGGAAGATAGAGGGTGAGGGGGGAAGTTAAAAACAAGAATATTCTTCAGTCTCAATGTGAGACTTGTCAGTGAAATACAGAATGCAGCATAGTACAGTTTTGACAGGCACGTTAAAATAGTTGGGTTTTTTTTTTTGTTGTTGTGACTCTTCAGCTTGTCTCGTCAGACCCAATTTTAATATTGTTCGAGTACACCGGCACACCTTAAACGACACCCAAAGTGCAGTTGTACAACCACGACGATAAACAAACAATGAATGAATACCGTGACATTTGTTCCATAATGTTGTGGCTGAGGAGTATTTTGCTCGTGGTATTTTTCAAATTACACCTCGTGTAGCTCTAATTATATTTTGTGAAGACACAATTCAAAAACACTATTAGAAATATTTCTGGTTTTCTGCAAGTGACTGCAAACATCAGAACGAGTCCAATTACAGAACCGGACATCTTAAATTTTTTTTTTAAGCCTCTTTTTAAAAAGAAGGTAAAGTGGCATTGCAGCAGAAGTACACACAAAGCAGCAATTTGAGATTATACGGCATAGACGCGATCACACAATGTTGAACTGGCAGACCGAGGCCTTCTCGTCACGGCAGTTCTCATCGAACCACTTTCCTTTGGCGGCCCCCGACAGCACCGCACAGTTCTGGGACTGGCCGCCATCTGGCTGACGGGCGCGGCTGTTGGACGTGTCCCAGTTCTTGAACTGGATGCTGACGCCGCTCTGGTCCGCCCAAGTGTTTTCGGTCACCATGTCGTTGATGCCCAGCCACACCTGCTCATCCCTGCCCACGCTGTGGCGGAGGTAGTCGGTTAGCAGGTCATTCTCCTCGGCGGATGTCGGGGCGCTCAGGACGCCGCCCAGGGCGTTGCAGTCCTCGCTGGCTGTGTGATACGATTTCTTCACTGGGTCAGCCAAGACGCACTTGCCGTTCATCTTTGTGCCCTTCAAACACACTGGATAGCCGCATCGGTTAAATCGGTAACAATTGTCCCTAAATTAAAAAGGAACATGATCATTCTTCATTTGAACCGGAATTCAATGTTCACATTTTTAACAAGTTTCTGTGCCCTAAAATAGGAGTTGTCATAAAATAAGATGCCAGAGATGAACAGTAAAAATATTACATTATTGCATTTTTTTTTCTCTGCTGACCAAATTTGGAACCAAATATGGCTTCTAGCTTGAAAAGAGTTATTTTTGGCGTAGTCCTGCAGTAGTCATTATTTTCTGACATCAATCTTCCATTTATGATCAGCTGGGTCTATTTGGAACCACATATGATTCTTGGCCCCCCAAAAAGGTACAAGTTTCTGTGCCCTAAAATAGGAGTTGTCATAAACTAAGATGCCAGAGATAAACAGTAAAAATAATACATTATTGCATTTTTTTTCTCTGCTGACTAAAATTGGAACCAAATATGGCTTCTAGCTTGAAAATAGTTATTTTTGGCGTAGTCCTGCAGTAGTCATTGTTTTGTTGGACAAATAATTATTTTAACAATATAAACCTGTCTTTTTTTTTTTTAGAAATGATACTGCTTTAGGGTGTCCATCTGAACTCCCAGTTCGGAACCGTTCTTGCCGTTTGAGTAACACACGTCTGTACTCCATCTGAGTATTTTTACCTCTCTGCAAGGCCTGTTCTTCCTTGAGATGGTTGAGGTCCTGCACAATGTCGTCAATCCGTCTCTGGAGTTCCTCGATGGCAGCATTATTGTCTAATTCCAACACCAAAAAAAAAAAAAGGTGAAGTCACACGTGATCATATGTGTTCTATAAATTCAGTGATGAAATAACTTTGATGACACCAAATATTGCAAACGAGGGGACGAATGACAACAACGGCGCTGATGCAACGCTGTCGTCAAATCGGCGCAAAGTACCTTTTCGTACGGGCTTCTTCTTTGGCGGAGTCTGCTGGAGTGAGCAGTTGACCAGCATCAACACGAGCATCAGCATGCACACGCCTTTGCACTCCATGGCTACACTCTGTTAGACTGAGGATGGGCCAACGTGGAGCCTCGCTATTTATCTTCTGCCCCCGAACCCTCCCTTTCGATCTCTCGTGCATGCATGTGAAAAACGATGAGGCCGTGTCAAACCCTCGGTCCTGATGACATAACCAAATCTGAGTCATAGTGAGTTAAAAAACCTGCGTGAAAAATATGGGATCTTTTTTTCCTGAATATTGGCCAAATGTTTTTGGGGAAGGTTTGCTTTTTTTTTTTAATTTCAAATTGGATAATGAAGTTAATAACGGTACACTTTAATCATTTGATAAATAATTGGAAACTGTGAAATGTGTTGTTTACATGCCAAACACTATTTTAAAAAGTGACAAATCCACAAATTGGTTTCCAAAATGTGCAGCCAGGGAACAGGCGTTTGTTTTGGACCCGTCTGCCTTCAAACTTTGGACCGTCTGACAGACGTCTGGAATGATTTCTTCCCATCTGGTCTCTCTTTACTCAAACCCTCAGCCTAAGCCACGTGGCAAAAGCGAGAAGGTGCTCAGATTCTAGAATTTTCCTCAACTATGTTACATAATCAGAACAGATTTTCACTATCTTAAAATAGATAATCAAAACAACATGAAACCATCTTAAAGGTCATAGACCAAACATTGATTTTTTTTTCTTGAGACCTTTAGATGCCCCTTACAATGCATTATTACAATATTTCTAAAAAGTGATTAGATGGTCAGTCGAGAGCGCCCTCTCGTCTTAGCGTATTTCCGGGGCTGTGACGTCATAGACGACAAACAATTAGTGGCACCTGTGGCACGCGGTTGTGTGCTCTTTGTGTTCACCTTACTTTCGATATTAAACAGTTGTTTATTTGTTGAGTGACAGTTGGTTGCACCAATGGACGAAGGTGTGACAACATGTTTCTCAGCTTTGCAAAGGAAAAAGAAATACGTGACCAGTGGATCAGAAAGTCAATAGGCAGTGAATGGACGACTGTGGTCGCCAAGCAAGTATTCAAAGCTCTGTTCTGATCATTTTTGATCCGGCGTACTTTAGCAAACATTTAGCAGAGAGCATCGGGTACATGAGTGTAGTTCGACCCAGGCTGAAACCAGCTCCCTTGCCAACGATGTTTTTTTTCTTCGGCAACCCCCAGCAGCACCAAGAAGAACCCTGGTCGTCGTGATGCACTCGAGAAGCGGCGCAGGTAAGAGGTGAAGATTTATTTGCGAGCGTCTACGACACCTAACAATGGCGATTATGAATTGAGCCATTGAGTAAAAAAAAAAACATCGTAGTGCAATATTTAGTTATTCTATCTACATAGCAAGCTGCCCGACAGGGTAAAACTTTTCTGTACGGCGTGTTATACACGCCCCATTCATTGTTTAGTGCTATAATTGCACAGCACGACCAACTGTTCGTCTCGAAAGTTGTTGCGCTACCGAGTTGAGGTTGCTTGATCAATTACGGGTTGCAAACACATACCAATCTCTATTTCCAATCCGATCCTCGTGGTTTATGTTATGTTAGTCTAATCCAGGTTTCTCTGTGGCGTTGCCACAGTCATCACTTGTACTTTGATTTACACCGACCGGCTCAAACATGTATGGTTTATTAACAACGCCCGTTTCTGTCGGCTCCTATGTGTAAAAAAAATAAAATACAATTTTAAAATCCTCTTCTTCATATTCCAAAACATCGCTCGCCATTAAATATACTGTTGTGTAGCGAATGGAAATTGATATTTGAAAGTATCTTTATGGTATGGTGTGCTGGTTGGCTTCAAAAACAATTCGGGTAAGCCTAGCGGTGGCTCAAGTAACTACACCCACGATGCCTCAAGCGTCAATAGGTTCGGAAATACAGTACTAAGTAGTAATTAAAACTTAACTTTTCATGGCCCTGTGGTTGACAACTCTCAGGAAGTGACGTTTATGTATTACAAAACATATTAACAAGGAGAATAGGAATTTTAACAAGACTCTGAAAAATCTTTGGAATCTGACCATTGAACGTCCTGTTCAATGTACTAAAGGTTCATAACTTTGAATAAAATATCCAACAGACCATATTTCTTTTGGAAAAGACAGACGTTTTCCACTAAAATAAAAATTTATATGGCTGGAATATTCTGTATGAAAAGAAATACCAAAGCATCTGGTGGTCACGGTTTCTGTTTAGTTTTCTTCTCATCTGAGGTTCACAAACTAAAGTTGCATCGTGTGTGTGTGTGTGTGTGTGTGTGTGTGTGTGTGTGTGTGTGTCTCTGTCTCTCTGTCGGTAAAATTGAACGGATTTCAATCACTTTTTTTTGTCATACTGTATACTACAGTACATTCACCATAAATATAAAGACCATTTCCTCAAAAATAAAGACAACTTGTAACAAATTGCTAGTTTTTACTGGAAAAAAGGTACACAATGATATATACATAGTACTCTATTGTACACAACAATGACATTTCTAACCAAGAAAGCCCACTTTCTGTCTCGTTCCTAAACTCTCCTCCTGCTGCAGCAGCTTCATGAGAGGCACGTGGAGGGCTTTTCCAACACGTTTACCTGTCTGGAGAGTCAAAAATTCACAATTCAACAGTGTGTAAAAGTTTTGCTGAAACTACCATTTCAATCATGAGCAGCCACGATGTATGTGAATTGTTTTAGTTGTTTGAAGCTTTATACTTATATTGTGCTAATTGCCATTAGCTCATCTATGGAGTTTTGCATTATATGTTAGCATTGGGCTAGCAGTAGTCTGGCAGACTTTTGCAACATGTAGATGGTGGAGGTTCTCATCCAGTGGGAAAAACCGGCACCCCCAAAAAGATCATGAAAGTGACTAACTGACGCTTGAAGCAAAAATTCGGCATGCTTTAATGGTTGCCACTGCAAACATACGTGTTGAGGCAAGCGGTGATGACTCACTTCAGTCATTTCAAAGATGCTCTCAGGGTCCAGGCTACCTCCGCCCATCTTCCTCACACAGGTGACCGTTCCCTTGTGTGTGACTGAAATGATGAGGCTGGCCACGGAGCACGCCTTCTCTTGCAGAGTGGCGTCCACCACGTGCCTGTGGCCCACCTAACCCCCCCAAAAAACAAGACAAAAAAAAATGCAGAAAATCTGTCCTCTGCTTTTGCAATAATACTTTTCATGTGTGAGTCTAATTGAATGATCTTGCCTTGCACAATGTCACTATACAGGGAACATTCTCTACGTCGAGTCTCATGCAGTCGAAGGGGTCATCTGACAGCTCAATTTCCTTCCCTCCTTCTTCATCGTTTGATATGTGCACCTTGGGGATTCTGTCAGCAAAAGCACTTCAGTACCTCGTCTGCTCAAATACATTTAAGAATCAGATCAAAAATACTGATAACTACAAATGTAGGACTGCAGGCAACCGCAATGTATCCTCCATCTTGGATTTTTTTCATGCAATCGAAATTTAATTCGGATTAGAAAATGGCTGGATGGAGGATGTTCCATAGTAATCTGTGACTTGTTGTCGTATGGGATATGATGCCCTCTTGTGGCCTGACTGAAAAGACATTGAAAAAGACTTGTAAGGGTGGTCCTATGACAAAAGAGTGTTCACACTTAAATCTGGTCCGATTTTTATATTTTTCACATAAATACACACCAACACATGACTTATATCCATCCCTGTATATAATGCTTGCTGATAGCTGTAATTTGGTCCGCCTAAAATGTAAATTGTAGGCGTTACTAAACTGTCTTTCTGCAACGGTCCCATTATTGCTTATTCTCTGAAAAACTCAACTATTCAGGTTTTTGTGCTCTTTCGTAAATGCCTTGTGATCAAACTGAAGGTTTCTTGGAGTCACAGTGACTCCCAACGACAAATTCCTTGTGTATTTTAACACACTTGGCCCCACGCGATAAGATCTTTAGTTCTATTTTAAACACATGATATTCTGAACACAACTGCGTGGGTATCCCACTTGGACATAAAGAAAGAGTTCAAACAGGACTTACTTGGTGCTAAAGAGAGCTGCCTTGATAGCTACTGACATGGCATCATACAGGTTTCCATCACATTGTAGGAGCTGTGCAACGGAAGGCAGTGTATTAGCAATGGAACATTTGCTTATTCAAGGACGCAAAGAAAAACATACTATTCTCTCACCAGTACATCCACATAGAGCACCCAGCAGTGTTCTCCCTTACTGATACACAGCTTCTTCAGGTCCACGCTGTGCTTATTGTTGAAGACTTTGTACAGTGTGTTGCTCAGCTCCTTCCCGAGTTCCTCCCCTCCTCGCCCCTCAAATTCTGGAGTTGCGTTCGCTGAACTGGTGAGTGCAAGTACAAACGACACAGAAAAAAAAAAAAAAAAGACAGTTAAAATGAACAACAACCCAATAGCGTCAATTAAAACATTTTTTTTTTTGGTTGGGTGTCCGATGAGTACATATCAAGTTGTAATTTATTATGTCAGATAATGTGCCTGGATTGCGTCCAGTATCGTCACACTTGCACACACATCCAACTTACCAATCAACAAAGAACTCCAAATAGCCTTCATTTGGGGCCATGGGCCTCGGTTTTCCTATTTCCGCCTTAATTCCCACTAGAACTGCTGTGTGGCCCTGCAAAATTAAATATAATTTTGTCAAGCCTGTATGCATCTTGCATGCATCATGCATCTTGAGTGACGCGAGCAGTCAGATGACCTCCAGTATTATAGCAGAGCAAATATTACAATAATACCAGAGAAACTTTGGCTGATCCGTCAGTATTGGACACCACGTCGGTCTCAATCTCCATGTGTCTATAGTCTTCACAGCCCCTTCCATCCACTCGCAGGTCATCCTGATCGTTGAAACATGACGATATTCCTCAGCAATTAATATACTCAATGAAAAGTCTTCCCGTTGTCGACACTCACCCTTATACCATGTAAAATATACACCTTTTCAGCTTCGCTAACTTGTACTGTTGCCATTGTGGAGTCGTGTCCGTCGCATGAATATTACGTCATCAAAAGCAAAGTGGGAGGAACTCTTAGTTTGACAGTTAACACCCGAATGTCCGACAGAAACAGCATCTATTTGGCTTTTTCCTCCCCTCCGGCAGCACTTAAATGATTTTTCAACAAGTATTTTATTTAGATCTAGTAATAGAAGCGGTTACTTTTGAGAGTGTGATTTCTACGTCTATTTAATGCTGATATTTTTAAAACGGTTGTAGTTGAAAACAAAATATGCTCAGCATCATGGATGCAAAAAAAATGCTATTTGTACTAAAAGTATGCACTACATTTAACTCGCTAACACAAAGCAAATTAAAACTGACATGCAAGTACAGTATTTAACTTTCGAAAGCACAAGGAACCAGTTTATGGGCGAAAGTTAAACCTGGCAGACATAGTCGAGGGTACAGTGAAGTTGGTACAATCCACATGACTCCCAGTATCACAGACTTCCTGGTTAGCCCTGTTTTTTTGTCCCAAGAACTGTGGAGGTTTCAGGACTCGACAGGGAGGGAAGTACCGGGGTAGCGAAAAAAATTGACAGCCGTAATCCTTTTACTTGATGAACAAGTTCATTAACATAGCACTGAAACTGCAACCGCGACGAAAGTGTGACCGGAGTTGTGTGGACAGCCATTGCCCAGAAACCGGTGACGTTAGCTGGGTCCGCGCTAAAGGCGGGGGACGGTGGAGGAGACGCTTTTCACGTTACTTTCGTGATTTAACTTCGAAAGAATAGAAACTACTGGGCGACGTTTTTGCCAAAGCGCCAAGAGAAATTGGGAGGTAAGATGTTTTTTTAAGATGTTTAAAAAAAATTAACTTAGTGTGTTGCATTTACGTGCCTTTTGCTCACCGCGACCCTGCTTTCATTTGTAGTTGCATGTTTACTTCCTATTGTCGTGTTTGATGTGAAAAAAGCAAGCATAAAATATTTAGGGTGCAATTAAATTAATTCAGGGCATCCAGAGGTCAGAAATGAATGAATTTGTCAAAAGGACAGCGCAGCTGAAGGACACATGATGGACGTACAAGCTGAAGTGCTGAGATACGAAAAATGCGCTGGATTTTTACAGCATTAATTTCGTTAGAAGTAATGAGAAGTAACAAACTATTGTGGCTGTTGGTGCGCAGCAGTATTGGAACAGTTGCATTGACACTTTTACAGTGTTTGCATCTCAGCTTGTCACTGACGCACGAGAAGAAAACATCACACCTTTAAAACAGTTGGTACAAAGTGTGAAATGTTTCTCTGATCGTTGAAATGAATCCTGAATGCTAACTCATCTCTGAATTGTGCCTTTCAGCATGCGGTTGAAGCCACGGCTGCTGTAGAATGAAGAGCCCTGCTCACCGCACTCGGGACATCGAGCGTCAGGCTGGCTACCTGAGGCCCGAACACTGCGCCCCTCCCCCGCCCCGCGGCACCTCCGACACCATGTGGTTCATCCGCGACGGCTGTGGAATCGTGTGCGCCGTCATCACCTGGTTGCTGGTCTTCTACGCGGAGTTTGTGGTGATGTTCGTGATGCTGTGGCCCGCCAAGAACGTGGCCTACAGCCTCCTCAACGGGGTGCTCTTCAACAGCTTGGCCTTCCTCGCCCTTGCCTCGCACGCCAGGGCCATGTGCACTGACCCGGTTAGTTGATGCAAAATTTTCCAGCCCCATTAAAGTCCTATGAAAAAAAAAAAGATTCCTTTTTTTTTTTTTTTTTCCTGTCTCCAGGGTGCTGTGCCAAAAGGAAACGCGACCAAAGAATTCATTGAGAGCCTCCAGCTCAAACCAGGACAGGTGGTCTACAAGTGTCCCAAATGCTGCAGCATCAAGCCTGACCGAGCTCATCACTGCAGGTATGCTGGCTGGCGGGCATGGGGACAATGTATGATAAATTATAAATCCGTGCAAACCTGCCAGGAAAAAAAAAAACAAAACGCCCTGATGTGACTTTCTCACAAGGGACACACGTCCTCATTAGTTGTCGTTCCAGCTCTGCCTCCTGCCTGATGTGCAGTTTCCAATTTTTTTATTGTTGTTAGGGACACTGCGATCCCTGTATATTTTTCCCTAGCTTGATAATAACCTACCTCTGTGGCAGCACTCCTTTTGGATTCTGGCATGGAAAGTGAATAATTCAACTGTAGAGCGAGCGCTTTGAGGCAGAGCATTGTGTCAGTCTGTTACAAGGGATATACTTGAAACGCTCCTGCACGCACATTAGACACTTTGTAGGAACTGAAAAATGTCAAGGAGTGAGTAAGGACTTGCAGATCAAAGGGTTGCGGCTTTCATTTCCTTCATCAACTGCAGAGAGGAACAGGCATTGACTTGAATGCATTTCAGTCAAGTCTGTAAAAACGAAACTAACTTTTGATTATGCTGTAATTACGTCTCAAGATACTACAATTGATAGATGAATCAACGATTTGTTGTTTCCTGTTTAGCCTCTCGACTGTAAATATTCTCCCATTTCCGTAGTCCTCCGTGGAAGCATCTTTTGAATCCAAATAAGGCATTTTTTATCATCTGCTTGTCAAATCAGTTTGCTCCATTGAAATGAATTGAAATGCCGTTAATGCGTTCCACACCCGCCCAAAAACCACCACCATTTTTCTGTTGTGTGCTTGTTAATAAAGAAGAAATAGCACTGCATTGTGCAAAAATATAAAAGAGAATGTAAAGCTATAAACTGGTTTACAAAGTGTAACTAATGCATGCCAAGGTAAGACAATACTCACTTTAAGACATTGTGCACAGTCTGTATGACTCCAGAAATGTTCAGTGACCTCGCAGACGGGATGGTCGTCCTTATCAGGTCCAATTTTCTTTCTCCTACCTATGTGTGTGCAGTGTGTGCAAACGCTGCATCAAAAAGATGGATCACCATTGTCCTTGGGTCAACAATTGTGTTGGAGAGAACAATCAGAAGTACTTTGTGCTTTTCACGGTGAGCCTCTCGAAATCACATCCTCCATAGCTGCATTTAGACAAATAGCAATGGCTAAAAAGTCCTTCAAATTAAATTACGCGGTCACAGCAATTGTCTTGTGTTCCAAGAACACATCCCCAGGTGTCTGGTTGTTATGCCGCAGCTTGGAGAGTGATTGCGTTGACTCTTTGAGCTCGTGTCACATACCGTAGACAGACAGGCAACTTGAATGCCATCATTTTTGTGATTCGACAAAATACGCACCTTGGAGTTGGTCACCCATTTTAAAATATGTCCCTCTGTGTTTTCATATCTAGCTGTACATTGCGTTAATATCGTTCCACGCGCTTGCCATGGTGGGGTTCCATTTTGTTGTCTGCTTTGAAGAAGATTGGTCAAGTAAGTGAGTACTTTATTGCCGAATGCGTTGTCAGCACTTTGTAAAGTGAGTCCAGCCCTCTTATTATTTTTGTAAATAATCTGTCCTATACTCTATTTCCATGGGCCTGCTACATTGTAAAGTAGTCAGTGTAAAGCTTGTAACAGTCAATTGACTGTCCTCTCAAAATAACTTGGCATTGGTAAGTCAAAATGTCTTGAATGTCTTAGGTGGCGTTATCGCCAATATCGTATACCTTTACCATCGTTAAAGTTGACAATAGTTTCGTACATATTGCAATCGCAATTTCCCTCCCTTCATCAGAGTGCAGCGCTTTCTCTGCGCCCGCAACGGTCATCCTCCTCATCCTCCTGTGCTTCGAGGGCCTTCTGTTCTTAATCTTCACGGCGATCATGTTTGGGACACAGGTGCACTCGATCTGCTCCGATGAAACGGTAAGCATCGAGTCCATCCGTGTCTTGCGTCTTTGCGTCGCCTGTTTCGGAAAATAATGTTGTCACGTGTTGGACTGGCCTGATGCTACGAGGCATCTTCTGCAGCACGCTTACGTTCCATCCTGTCATCGCTTCCTTTAAGGCCTTTTTCATTTTTCTCATGATGTTTATGTAATGGGACTTGGAGATCAATATAAGGAGCATCTGAATGATTTTTTTTTTTTCTTCTAAAGAAATATGTAGCAGTTTAAATCCTTTTCGGGACAGCGGTTACTACAGTGGACAGCTTATCCATGTTGTCAGGTTACAGGGCGCATGAAAGGGTTAAAAAGTAAAAAATACACCGTTCAATATTTCAGATCCGGCTCAACTTTTTGCTTCGAACAAGGAGCTGAGCAGCAAAATTCACAGCAGGTGTTAGATACATGAAAAATATAACACCAGCTAAGTTGAATGTAAACAATTGGTGGAGGGCCACTAATGGCCCCTAAGGCCTCGGTTTGAATAGCTGTAGTTGAAATGAAGACACTTTTCGAACTAATTATGTCAACGATGGGGGAAAAAAAAAAATCAATCGGGTGCCCCAAAAATATAATCATAAAAATAAAGTTGGGTTTCGGTTCGTCAAACCCCAAATAACAGTTTCATCTTTTTACCTCACAGGGTATCGAGCAGCTGAAAAAGGAGGAGAGGAAATGGCTTAAAAAGTCCAAATGGATGAACATGAAGGTGGTTTTCGGGCACCCGTTCTCGGTGGCCTGGCTCAATCCCTTCGCGACGCCCGATCACGGCAAAGCGGACGTCTACCAGTACATAGTGTGAAGGTTAGAGCGTTGAGCATTGGCACGAAACGACTTATTAATGGAGGAAAAAAAATAAAACTCCTTCATTATGTTGCATCTGTCTTGCTGCGGATTACCACGTATATTGCAAAAGGAAAAAAAAAAAAACCAAAAAGCAAATGGGTCGACTCGAATGACAAAGTAGGAATCGTCGCGTGTTGTATGTGTGTGCACTACAAATTGAGGCCGTTTCGTCTTCCTGTAACGTTTGGTCATTTGAACGCTGCCACTGAGTTGCCTTCGAGTTCTGCGCCGAAGCGTCAAGCACACATGGATGTCATTTTGTATCGTCTCCATATGTGAAACCATGGACCAGAGATTGACATTCTGTCAAGGAAATGGATTTTAGGAGTGAATTTCTTGTGATTTATTTTTTTTTCTTTAAAACAGTTTCTGTAATGCTGTATTTCCTCATATGGTGGTTGAGGGCGTTTACTCCACCGGTGAGTTAGAGTTAAGACGTTTATCGGGGGACAGGAGTTTTATTGAACACAAAATTTTTTTATGTATCATATTTTTTTAGAATATTTTAAAAGTATGTGGTGTTGGCCACCTCATAGCAATTCACTGTTCACGCCCCTGCTATGATGTGCCCTTGCCTGTGGGAAAGGAGAGCCACAGTTGCCTCAGCACTTTACAGTCAGCAGAACAGTAAAACACAAAAAGCACACTCGGCCACAGCTCTCCCCAGACACTCACATGCAGGCTGGCTGATGTCATAAGCCACCCCGCCTGGTCCCGCCTCTTAGAGGCCAACACCTTTCACAAGCCATTATAATATCGACAGTATTTTCTGTACATTCCACTCCCTTTTTTTTCTGTTCAAGTACATGTTACCATGTGTTTGAAAAGTACATTTTGACGTGTTAGAATATTTTTAAAGCGAGCAGGAAATGTAAAATTCTATTTTAGAAAAGTGTTCTTATGTGGTCTCTATATATGGAACCGACGGGTTCGCCGTATTCAAATTTAATATCCATCCATTTTCCGTAGCGCTTGGCTGTCGGGTCGCGGGTGAATGGAGCCTACAGCGGCAGGGTACAACTCCTGACCGGTCGTGGGCCAATCGCAGGGTGACAATATAATAATAATCATGATGATAATGTACAATATTATAAATATATCTTACAGTGTTGCCTTGAGAGATGGCTGACCCGAATTGAGTCTTGAAGCAGATGGCAAACAATGCTTTAAAAAAACAAACAAAAAAAAACAGTTAAACTGTTTGTCGCCTCTCCAACTTGATGTTTGCTGTCAAAATAATCATAAAACCAGATATCCAAAAGGGGTTAAAGCAAAAACACTTTGCCTTCCTAAAGTCATCTTAGCTCGATGATATTTGAACACAAATGGCGATGCAACACACACAGAGAATACAATATTTGTATTTTATTACAGCTTTTGTCACGTACTGAAAGGGTAGAGGTCATTATATTTTTTGGACTTTATCCATTACAAGTTGCATACATATTACATCCCAAAAATTCTGCCGTCTTTTATCAAGTGACTTCAGAACGCCCCCGCACCCCTCCCCAAATCTTCATTTCTGCTAACTGTTGAAACATTTAGCACTTTTTGCTCTGTAAACTGAACTTTCTCTTTTAAGTCCAGTGTAAACTTGAGCTTTCGACATGCCAGGTCTTTTTTGTAGACATAAGTTGAAATAACGGAGACAGGGTTGTGGAACGGGAAAAGGTGACTGAAGCAGCCGTTGCTGTTGCACATGGGGTGGCGCCATCATTTTGAGGTGCGGCGCTCATTTTTGAGCAGTTAATGGGCCATGGCGTCGATTTAGAACGGAAGCCACTATTTGAGGAAATACTGTCAGTCAACTTCTCAGATGCACGGTTTGGGGTATGCAACGTGCAACAAGTACCGTAACTAACTTTTGCTGATGTTCAAAACTTGGAAACATGCTGGATTGTTTTGTTACGCGAATGTTGATGCCATTTGGAAGGTGTGAAAACTGTGAGGGGATGTCGAACTGATGTTAATGTGATTCACTTGAAGAGCGGTATAAAAGCGTCCACCTTTTTACTAAGATGACACTATCGCAGTCTCATTGTCGCGAGAGGATGTGCAATACTGCGCAAAAGTTTTCAGGCACCATTAGATTTGTTATATATATCATTAATAGAGAGGTGCTGTTAGTTGATTTTTTTTTCATTTCCATTCTGCTATCGACTCAAATATTGAGCACCTGCACACTTAACTATGAGTTGACCCGCGCGCCTCTACTCTGTTCGCCGTAGTACTGTATTTTCCGCACTATAAAGCCCACCTTAAAGCATTCCGTTTTCTCAGTGCGCCTTATGATCCGCCTTCTATGTGGATCAATATTCCATATTCTCGAACGTAGTATTTTAAATGCTCTGTAAAGGGCTTTGTTTACAGCTGCAGCGATCGTGAAAGCTCGATATAAATAAAGCTGTCTTGTATTGCATTCCCTTTAGCGTAGCTCCATTTAGTGGAGGCATAACTCAACCGCAGTCACTATTGTAGCTTCTATTCTATGCGCCTTATAATGCGGTGCGCCCTTTATATGAAAGCAGTTTTAAAAGAGGCCATTCATTGAAGGTGCACCTCATACTCTGAAGCGCCTCATGGTACGGAAAATACGGTAGTCATACTATTTATTGCCCTATTTCATTTTTTTTTTTTTTTAAACCGTAAACCCTGTGGTGACCTTAAACTTTTGACGCCGTATTGTATATTTCTTATGAAATGCTGATTTAGATACTGCCAAACTAGTACTGGGGGAAATGCATTGTTTAACCTAAAGAAATCCGGGGGGGGGGGGTATCTTAAATGATGTCAATATGTGACCAATCAGGTGCTCCTGTATAAACTCAAGAGCCTTAAAGCATAAAAGAGTTCCGACTGAAGACCATTTGAATTGAGCGACTGAAAATTTCACGCAGGCCACTCACTCGATGATTCACCCAACCATCAAAGGGGAGTTTGTGGAACATTTGATTTGAACTTGCGTGATGCGTTCTGTTTCAATGTGTGTGTGTGTGTGTGTGGGGGGGGGGTTAAAATGCAATACAGTATCTTTGCAATATCTTTTTTTTTTTTTTTTACATCTTATGGATATGCAGTCTACTATTCATCTTACAAGAATAACACCAGCTGGCAGTTTATAATTTGTACGGTCCGTCATGAATACTATTTTAGTACGTTTCAGGAATTTCTTTTATAATGTATTTGAGTTAAGGAGAGGGGGAGAGGAATAAAGTTCTGTTGAGACAATGGATCATGTCTATTTCTTCCAGTATTTTCACTTGGGAAAAGTCTCCGTTCATTATTTCTTTTGAGAGCATTTAACAGGTGAGTCAGTAAGCATCATGAACGAGGTACAAAAAGTTAGTCTCACCCCAAAACTGCAATCTATTTAATTATTACTCTGTTTTTAAATTATACTATTATGAAGAGTTATAGACATTGTTTCTAGTTAAGGAAAAACATACATATTTCATTGAAATCATTTCAACCAGTCATCTAAAATAAGCATCATAATAATCTTGCTCAAAAGTCTACCCGGCGACCAGATACGCAATTTTTTTATTTTTTTGGGTGACACTGGAGATGTAGTGACCAAAAAAAATGACAGCCATGATGCTGTAATTCTTAGTTTCTAGACTTAAGTACACGATACACGTACAATATCTTGTGTTCCCAAAATTCAGGTGCGCAATCCAAATATTGTGACACGTCCAACATTTTTTTTGTACTAGTTACAGATATAAACCATCTCTCTGATCACGTTGTGGTCACATTAATAGGGATGCATGTTACATAAGATACACGCAAAATTGAAAGCATGTCTGGTGGATAGCGTTTGTGCCTTGTTGTTCTCGCTACCATGATGCATTCATATTTTGTCTAATCAACAGCAAAGTGAGACCGAAAGACCAAAAGAAAGCCTTTGATGTGAACAGACGGTTATTTACTCCCAAAGTAAGAATGTCCTCCATTTCCTCAACTGACGGGACTTTATTCAACTACAGAGTGCCAGGCATATATTTGAAGCGCGGCATTTACAATGTTTGAGAAGTGGCCTTTGTACGTCGGTTGACGAAGAACTCTTATTGCCGTGTTACATTGAAAATGAAATGCAGAACTGAACTCTGCACACCTTTGTCCCCTCAAACAACTCAAAATAAAAATCAACCGCTGTTAATATAACCTACAGTGAAAACAGACACTATTAATATAGTCCAAATATGCTACAGTAGATGTGTCGATTAGGCGTGTCCCTTAAAAAGCAAAAGAATTGCCAATGGCAGTGAAGTAATGTGAATTAGCCTCATTAATGTCTAAACCGCTGGAGAAACGTAACTAGTAGCTATACTGAAGATAACTACAGCACAACTGCCCAAGCCATTTTTTTCCCTCCATAAAGAACGTTGATGCTATTTAGCTAATAGCATCGATTTGTATAGCTACATTTATATTGTGAAAATAGAACTTTTTTTTTTTTTTTTCTTTAAAGATTTAAGTATGCACAGATGTTTACAGTGAGTGTCATAGTGATTTGAAAGAAAGACTTTAGTAACCAGATAGCTGCTGTATATAACCAAAATTAATTCATGGTGACATTGTGCCAATGTTGACAAACCCACTGCTCCCTTGTTGCCTGGCAACCTCACGGAATCAAACTCCAGGATGCTAAAGAACTAATCAAAGGAGTTGTTGTTCTAACACATTTTCACATATTTAAAAAAAAAAAAAAAACCCTTGGACAAGAGTCAGACAAGCAGTTTCTTCCTATTTGCCATTTTCATGCGTATTTGAGCTAACCATTGCCCCTCAGGCCATTGATATCTTTAAACACAGAATGTAACACTAATTTCTTCATCTTACTCTCCGCAAATAAAATTGCGTCTCAATGGTTCCATTGAACAAGTAGCGAACAAGCTAGCTAGCTAGCTTTCCCCCATTGGTTTCTATTGCCTCTGGTTGCTAATTCTGAGTGTTCCCAAAGAGATTCTATATGAAGTTATTTCTTTATACTTGTATTTTTTTCTTTGATTGTTAGCTATTAAGATGTACCTTGTCACTGCTAGCCCGTCTTGTACCCATTCAGACCAATAATGACCATGCTAATTAGACTCCTGTTGAACAAGGCGCAGACGTTAATTTTGAATGTATTTTTTATGTTTTAGCAAGAGTCAAAACAAAATCACTTTTTTTTTTTTTTGGTTTGTTTCCCTGTATTTGATAGATTTCATCAATAGACACATTTAAAAAAACATTCTCTGACATAGGATGGTTCTTTGGCGTGATGGGAAATTAGACTTAGAAGCTATTCAAAGCATATGTATGAGAAGAACCGAATCAGGCTGAACACAGTTAAGTGGAGATGAAACTGTCATTCATCTCGCTTGGCGACCGCGCTGGGTTGTCGATCCTGCGGCGAAACCCTCTGCAGTACGAGCAGGCCAGAGAACGTCAGGGAGATCCCGACCCACCACAGTGTTATTTGGGCCTCACCGAAGATCAGCTGGCCCAGGAAAGCCTCAAGATGAGAAAAAGGAAGGATAAAACTACATTTAAAAATATATTTTTTAGGAGGCACTCTGCAAGTAAAAGCAATCGTATTTGCATAGGGGTGTGAGTTTGTGTGTGCGGGAGAACGAGAGACAGGCTGCTACTCACGGAAGATACCAAGTTGGAGGCAGTGGTGGTCACAGTGGTTTGGGTGGAGGAGGAGGAGTACCTGAGTGCTTTGGCAAGGAAGGTCCACATCACAGCATTGCAGGTGAAAAGCAGTCCGCCACACAGCAGCCTCAGAGGGATGTGAAGCTGGAATATGACATCATCGCAAATGGAGATTTGGCTGCGTTTCTATGTGACTTCAACTTCAGACAAACACATTTTTCGTTTCGGGAGTGCGTTTCTGTACGGTGGTTAACCTATTTTACACTTTTGTTAGTAAATTAGGTTAACCATAGATGCACCACATGCAGAACCTTTGAATCCCTGTGATGATTTTTTTATATATTTATCACTGCAGTGATGAACTTATTTTTACACTTGTATGGGAGGAAGAATGTAAAATTGGGAGCGTGAGTATGACGTTCATCTTACCCTCTAAAAATTTATTGACATTGTCTCATCTGCTTTAAGATAATTTTTTTTACGAGGCAGGTTGGATGAGTTGTAAATTCACCTCACAATTCTGAGGTTGAGGGTTTGAATCCGGCCCTTGTGTTTCTCTTTTTGAGTCGACATTAAACAACAAATTTTCATTCAAGTAAACGACCCATCTTGTATTGACTTGTTTGCGTGTTCTCAACTTTTCATCGACTAGCCAAAAACATGCGCTTTGGTAGTTTATTGAAGACGAAAAAATGTGAATTGTTTCTCCAAGTGGCCCTTATTGGCTGCAACCAGTCCATGGTGTACATCATATTTGTTTTTATAAATGCAGTGCTATTTTTTTCCTTGAACAGACGCAGCAAAAACATCTGGTGGGTTTTTTTTTTGGGTGGGTGATGTTTAACGGTCTTTTTTTTTTTTTTTTACAAAGGCGCGAATTGATTTTATATGGTGCTTGGCATCAGAGTTATCGCTTTTTGACAGGCCTTCGTTAAGAAAATGTAGAAGCATTTATTGGCGCGTGAAGGTCAAAGAACGAACACCCCGTTTAGACGAAACCGCGTTGTGACCCGCAAACAACGCGATAGCACACGCCTTTGCAATGTCACCCATCACGCGAGCGCACCCTCGTCGTGAGTGGTGCTGAATCTGAGGGAGCTTTCATTTCACTGCTCCCCCGGCTTCCATGACTCACCCGATCGCAGGCGGTAGTTTCGTCCACTTGCCGAAATCTCCGCTGCTCGCCCCACGTCCGGATCCCCGTCTCGCACACTCCCTTCAGGTAGTCCGCTCCTAGGGACAGCTTGGCCGACGACGACGCCACGGCCGCGAGGAAACCCGCCAGCAGTGCATAGAAAACTCCGGGGAACATCTTGAAGGAGGACAGCTTCGATACATAATGGGCTACACCATCTTTCCACCTCTCGGGCTTCACCGCTCAAAAGCCCCTCTGATGTGGTGGCGTGCGGTGCATTTTCTCCACTTGGCCGTTTGGGGGCAGTCACAGCGCATACGTCTGTAGAAGCGACGGGGTTGGTCCGCTAATCGGTCCGCGTTGCACTATGGGAGTTGTTGTCTTTTTTTTTTTTTTTTTTGCGTTACATTAATTGTCATTTTTTTATCTATACTAAGCGGCCGGCGAAAAAAATAAACAATGAAATTAGTGAAATTCATATTTCACCGACCTGATATTTTATTTACGTCACAAAAAATTTAAAAAAAATGCAAGCCTGTATAAAATAGTGATTTACAGCGCATGACATATGTAGCTGTAAATCACTATTTTATATCATAGCCTATATAAACAACTAATCGGTTATCAAATTCATTGATGATTATTTTTCATAATCGATTAATTTCGGCCCCTCCACAGGAAATATTCTCTGATATCTTTTGTCCTCGATGAACATAGACTGATTATCGTTGTGTTGCATCAAAATAAGACATTGGCAAAAATTATCAATGGATTAATCGATGATTGAAACAATTTAGTTTTAGGTGTCAGTTTTCCTCTTGTTTGCCATTCATACCAAGTTGGAGTGGGTCACATTGTGGTCCCTCCCCCTCTACTGTGTAATTAATGCAGTTTGAAGTAGAGGACAATCAATGCTAATGTCATGGAGACAGTACGTAAAAGTGAGTTTCCAAAAAGCATGACTTCCCTTCTTCCAGACTGCTTAAACTGCAGGGATGGACCCTTATTCCCAACAGCATACTAATTGGCTGTACTCAAGGACCATTTCCATTAAAACTAAGTTGAAGTGGAATAGTGCAGCGGAAGGTTGAAGCACATAGACACAATTCCCACTTGCTTTCCTCTGTGACCTTTACAGTGAGCAGACATTGAGTGTCTGATGTCTGGAAACAAGATTATCTCCCAAATTGAGAACAGTGAAGGGAATCATTTGAGATGTGAGGACCCATAATGGCTTACATGAAAGTGGCTTTAACAAAATATTGAGGCTGTAGTATATTTAACTCATTGTCAGGACTGACCATGCTTTTCTATTAGCTTCATTAATTTTAGAGTAGGCGGCCGGCCCGATGGTCCAGTGGAAGACAGCTGGGATAGGCTACAGCAACCCCCCCCCGCGCGACCCTTGTGAGGATGAAGCGGATCAGAAAATGGATGGATGGATGTACGATGACAAACACAGATTTATTTATTTATGAGGTGAAGAGTCATAGTATTGATACAACTGTACATGGTGTATTTAATTATTTTTTAAACAGAAATGTCTCCACCCTGACGTCACATTGGGTGAACACGGTTACTGTAAGGTCTATTCAGGGGTTCTCAAGAGAAGGGTCGAGCAGAACGTTCAGAGTCAGAATTGTCAGTGGGGTTTCATCCAAGCCGGGGAACTCGGAACCATTAAGCCCATCTCCACATGAAGCCGATGACATCTTCGTGTGTGAAGGCTATCCTAATTTGACTGCATTTGCTCCTTGAAATGCAGCCAACAAATGTGACTCTCTTTTCATTAATTTTGAAAGGATTCACGCCTCTCCCTCTAGCATCCTTGACAAGGCAAATAACAAAGCAAAACAAATTCAAATTTCAATCGGACAGGTTCTCTTCTCTTAGTTTTCAGTGGAGCAGTTCTTCCTTTCTTAGCGTCAAGTTCGAGAGCTAATTGGGCTTCTCCTGTCCTTGTTCACTCGAGCGCTAATTGAGCCGACGTGAGCCTCGTGACACTTGTACAGAAGAGCTGTCACCTGCCCGAATCTTTTTTTTTTTTTTTCCCCACTCTATTGGCGCTAATCTGACTTGAAATAAAAATTAATTTGACAGAAGATTTAAGCATGACCTTATCAGCCATCAAATACAGATATAACTGGGGGTAAAATTTGAATAGAATAAAATGATGATACAGTTCAACTGACTGCATGCGGTACTTTGGGAGAACGGTTGAGGACGAAAGCCATTAAAATGTTTAGAGTCACTCAAATGTATCGTGAATGTCCATGCGCCATCAACTTCCATTCCCGTTTTGTGCCGACCTTTGTGTTTGTGTATGTCGAGCGCAACAACCTTTCCTTTAAAACAGGGGTGCCCAAACTTTTTGGACCGAAGATCGACTTTTCGATCAACCAACCTCCCGCGATCGACCCGTTACGAGCAACAGCCTGACACGGAGGCATGCGACGCACTTTAGCAGCCTGTTAACTGTCGTAGCTCACACGTACCGTTTTAAAGCGCTTTCCTCAGCCCTCTAGATTCCTAATTCTTTGGCCGTGCCCTCGGTGAATTGTACACGAAACAAACTCTGAATGAGAATAATGATAACGGTAAAAGATATAGCGCAACAGCTCTGATCACAAGCTGCAATCGCAGACTGCTGAGCGCTAACAACTTCCGGTGACGCAGGTCACGCCCCACTGTAGGTTAAAGATTTACCTGCTTGATTTTATTTCATTTTTAAAATACTTTTTGGGTGAAAATGAGACTGATAGGATGATTAGGGTGCAGTGTATATTTACACAAAAATATATTACTAACATGCACAAAGACACACAAATGATTGTTTTTTTTTTTTTCCTCTCCACTCCTCGCGATCGACTTGGGACCAGTCCGCGATCTACCAGTCGCTCGCGATCGATGTAATGGCCTGCTCTAAAACAATGCAATGAACATTGATGGGGTCATCTTTAAATCTTGCACTGGGAAAAGCAGTAAGCCGCCCCCCCCCCCCAAAAAAAAAATTCCACACGCCCTCCTGGTTTCATCTTCACAAACAATAGACACACGCGCACGCCGCTCCATGAAGTTGTTATATTGGCATCTCTTTGTAGTTAACTCTTTCATGCGCCCTGTAACCCAATCACATGATACGTGGCCTAGTCTGAATCTTGATAAATCTTTGTATTTTTGTGCTTCAAAGTTATCGATTGTGTCCGACAATGGGGCTGTCTGTAGATTTCCATCAGCGCACTGTTATGAAACGCATTCATCCGTATTCAAAATCTGCCATCACTGTAACGTGAACTCTGCCGTGCTGCAGTTTTTTTTTTTTTTTTCCAATAAGCTCTCAAAACGAGCCCGACCAAGCATTGAACGTCTGGTTTGCCGTATCACGTCAGGAAATGAAACCCCTTGAGCATGATTCATTAAGAGCTATGAAATATTATGCCAGAGAAAAATTGAGAGAAATAGGACTAGAATAGAATGGCTGAGAGACGACTTTTCGCCCCCTCATATTTTACCTTCAAAGTCGAGTCTTGTTCTCACTCTTTTATTTTTTCTATGGCGAATCGAGCATACGTTACCTTCTGAAAAGGTCGGCGGTGTTCTAAATGTCAAAATGTATTTGAAGAAAAGTGTGAGCTTTGTGCACAAGGTAACACGCTGGATGCACGCTAATAAATAAACAACAATATATGTTCACTTAGTAGGACATTTTATGGCCAAGTCGAGTTCAACTCAATTGTATCGTGAGACTTTATCTTCCTTTGTACTGTCCAAACACAATTTGGGATGTTGATGTTTCCAAACTTTTCACTGGTATGTTTTCCACAAAATAACAGGGGTGAGGGGGCAACTATCGAAAAAAGGGAAAAATCCAAAATATGAAAAAATATTGGAGGTGGGGAAAAAAAGAACAAAATCCACAAATGTGAAAATCTGCGGATGCCGATTGTAGCTTTTAAGACACAGGTGTCAAACTCAAGGCCCGGAGGCCAGATCTGGCCCGCCACATCATTTTATGTGGCCCGCGAAAGCAAATCAAACATGTCCACTTCCAGTGATGCTTGCTAAAATCTCTACCAAAATTTAAAATTCTCATATTTCATAAATTAGAGACATATTATAAGCATTTTCTTATGATCAAGCCCCTCATGACAGAAACTTATACAATAGTTGAATACATCGTTATTATATGGTTTCAGTCATAACGGCCCTCCAAGGGAAAAGGTAACTAAAATGTGTCCCGCGACAAAAATGAGTTTGTCCCCCAACCACTCCAGCATTTAAATTGCCCATCCCTGCTCTATAGTTCTGGCAATGCAAATTCACTACAACCCATGATGATTCTAAACACTTTTCATCATAGATAAACCGATCACACAAAATAAAGTAGGTGAACGACTTTTTGTTTCCATGCAGCGCAAGACTCTTGTTAATATTCTAAGTGGTTTTTGGCAACCAAACTGTGGCTGGAATCCAATTTTCGCACGATGATGTGGCTCACAAGGCTCCATTGTAACTTCCGGGGTGGGAGGCTTGAGTGGGCGTGTCTTTATGAAGAAAAAAAAAAAACTCTGGCTTTGGAGTAGCGGTGTCACACAAGCATCGCGCTACAGAAACTAGACAGCCGGGACTCGAACACCGACTTGGAAGATGTCCGTTTTTACACGCGGCGGTGGGCGCGCGCATCGACGTCACAGAGCGGTCACGACACGTCCACAGCTTTCGTTTTTAGTTGGCGCCCTCTTGTTTGCTACTTCAATGTGTTGGTGGTGAAATCCTTTCCACGGTTGCTTGGGCTCCATCCTTGCCCCCCTCCCCCGCTCCTCCTCCTCCTCCTCTTCTTCCTCCTCGTGGCGTCCCGTCATCAGCATGGAGAGGACGCCGAGCAGTCCACATCACGGAGGAACCAACAAATCGAACTCTTCTTCTTGTGACCGAAGCAACTCGTCGAGAAAAGCCGGCGGGCGGACGGCGTCGTCAAGCCCCGGCTCCGGTCCCCAGTGCGGCCCAGCGGGGGCTGGAGGCAGCCGGGGGGCTTTCTTGGGGAACGCTACCGGTTCTCAGCAGCACCAGGGTCGGAGGCGACAAATGGAAGGAGTTCTCAGCAAGTACACTAATCTCATCCAAGGCTGGCAGAACAGGTAAACAAAATCTCGCTTGGAGTTAGCTCACTTTTTTGGTGAATGGTTTGTTGTCCTTGTTGCACGTGAAGGTGAGGAGCGAGGGGGGCATTTAAATCCAAACTGTGCAGTTGGTGAGTTGGTAGTGGTTGAGATTTTTCTTTACTCGAATATTCAGTCCTCCAGACTTTTTTTTTTTTTTAACTCTCTACATTTGCATACAAATAGAGCTGAACTTCTTGCTCCTACTTTGTCAGAATCCTGGCATGATGAAATAGGGACTAGCACATTCGCCTTACATTATCTCAGATTGGGGTTTGAATCCTTCCCTTGAGACCTTAGCGTGTTCTCCCCGTGTTGGCGCAGATTCCAAAAACATGCACAGGTTTTTTTTCCCGACTCAAACTATGAGTGTGAATGGTTGTTTTAGTGTATGTGCCCTGAGAAGCTAAATCTTCCCCTTCCGTGGCCTTCTTAAAAGAAGCCATCTTGTCAAAATGGCACTCACAAGTTTACTTTAGAGAAGTGGTTCTCAACCTGGGTTTGATCGGACCCTATGGGTGAATCGGTCTCAGGGGTTCGACGGAGCCTCTGCCATGGAAGTTACGACACACCCGAGTTAACATGGAGATGATCAACTCAACATGCAGATGATCACATTATATGGCTTGTCCAATCAGTGCTAATGTAGTTCGCTCTGTCGTCATCGAGTGACTGTTGTGATAGTACATTGTGTGAATTATTCTTATTTTTTTGGGGAATTTTTTTTTAATACCTATACTATAACTATGTCAAGCAAAAAAAAAAGAAAGTGGTTGGATGAATATGTACAACATGGATTCACATGCATTACAAAACGTGATGGGACTCAGTGTCCTATCTGCATGATTTGTCATGCCAAGTTGAGCAACTCGAAACTGAATGAACACTTCTTGAATCATATTTTTATTTCCCTACTGTTGGGTTCGGTGAATGTGCATATGAACTGGTTGGGTTCGGTACCGCCAACAAGGTTAAGAACCACTGCTTTAGAGTCAGACATCCTCATTCCAAGCATCCTTCGTGCCAAGCAATCATACAACAACACCCTAAAATTATGTACAATTTGTCATTTCAAATCTTTTGATAAAATGGATCAAAGTGTGTTTTCAAATTATAAGTGTATTGAGAGCGCCGGGCCGGTTTGTGTAGTGGTGGGAAAATGGACCCGAGTGAAGCTAAATATGCTGCTGTGTAGGTGGCCCTCTACCAGTGTGAACTGTTGATAATGTTGTGGAAAATAATGTGCACGATTGTAACGGATCATGAGTAGATACTTGTCCTTTTTTTTTTTTTCTGTCTTTGACTGTTCGTTCATGATAAGAGCATCATTTGTTAGAGTGGACAAATGTGGCTTGGCATTTTTTTTATTGTTGTTCTTGTTCACGGCAAAGTGAACTATGGCTGAACGATTAATCGAATTTCAACCGATATTGCAACGGAGTGAACTTTTCAAACGACTGAAGCAACATCGACAGAATGTATGGCTCCTCCGCGACTTGTACAATATAAATCTATACTAGTGGAACCACTGCCGATTCCCCCGTGCGTTGATTCTAAATTTAGACTGCTCTCAAATGTTGAGGTGACGGGTGGGCAGCGGGGGGTTACATTTTGAGGGATGAATCATGACGTTGCTACGCCTCCTTGGTCGAAAAGTGTCAATTGAAGCTTCAGTGAGGGGTCCCTGTGGTGTGCAACCTTTTTCCTTTTTTTTTCGCCCACAGACCTGTTTACTTTCATCAATCCATTCCATCCACAATTTAAATGTGATTCTCATTTTGGGGGGGGGGAGTACTACATTCATACATCGATATTAAAATCAAATTGAATACAAGCGCTGGGAAAATTAATGCTAACAACGCTAGCTTTTAAAGCGTTTTAACAGGTAACATGATGGCTAACCTGTGTGTTGTTAGCATTGTTTGCGCAGTTTTTACTTTATTTTATTTTATTTTGAAGGGGGGGGCATAAAATCTAATAAATCTCAGGTAGGTAACACAGCCTGTGTCTCACAGGTCAGCATTTTCAACTCTGTTCCACATGAGCACGGACATACGGCCCTGTCTTTATTATGCTCGCGCCATTCATCATGTTTTAAAGTTCTGTCCTCTTGTTTAGCCGCAACGGAAAGACTGCTTGCAGGGGTCGACGGTAAAAGGCCCCCGCTCTGCTGACTAAACATGGGATTAGACTAAAGAATGTCAAAGTAGCCCCCGTATCTGTAGATTTTTGTCGATGCGGCGTGTTGGGACATTTGGATTTTTACGGATAGTGGCAGGGTCGAAAGGGGGGGTGGGGGAGCAGGTTTTGGACCATTCTGTTGAACCATGATGAGGCACTGGATTGCAAATCAATACTGCAATTGGACGTGGGGGAGCGGGGGGAGCGGGGGGGGCATTGATTATCAGTTCCAGCCAAAAGAAGAAAATGCAGGGCAGAAGGCGAGCGCAAGGACGACCACTGCAGTGACACTCTGGACTAGCAGAATCTTAAAAAAGTTCAGTGGAATATTTTGGTCACAGCCGAGCCCGTCCGTTCCTTGGTGGCCAGAGGAAATGAAATGCTTGCCCTCCTAACCTGATCTTTCTTTTTTTTTCCTCCCAGGTACTTTGTCTTAGATCCAGATTTGGGACTGCTGCTGTACTACGTGAACGAGCAGGGAATGAGCCAAAAGCCACGAGGGTCCCTCCCCTTGATCGGAGCCACGGTGACTCCGAGCGATGACGTTCCGCATATGTTCGTTGTCAGCGCTGTCAACGGAGAGCTATACAAACTCCGAGGTATGACGCCCACTCGTTTCCGAGCCGCTTTGTTTATGCCAATCTCAAGGAGGACGGTTGTGTTTTATTGAGGCGGTACACGTCAAGGTTTTTTTTTTTTTTTACTCGGATAGTCACATAATTTTGGTGAATTTGATTGGGTGTGATGCACGTCATGTCATGTATTCCATTCATAAATGTAACAACACCGTGCATTGAATCATTGCGGCTTTGATTGGCGGCGAATCAAGTGATCACGCCCACAACAGCGCAAAATGCCCTTTTTTTTTCTTTTAGACTTTACCTGGGCATGAAAATAGAGCCCATTAAGTCGTTCCTTGGCATGACTGAGGTTCACTTTGACAGACTGCGATGCAGTATGGTAGATCGATGGCTCGATGTTGGCATATGCCAATAAAGTTTAAAGAAAGACTCAATAGAAAAATCGTGGATGTAGATGTAACTTTGTGCACTTTTGACATTTGATCAGACATATTTGTGTTCCACAAATATGACGAGGATGGGAGGCATAACAGCGGACAGTTTCTGCTTTGGGCCTTTTCTCTCCCTGCCTTTTATTTTTTATTTTTTGGACTGTTGCTAAACTCTAACCACTGGAACCGGTATGCCCCCTTATTCTCTTAGGGGAAGGATTTCAAAACAAGAAGAACTTGGCCTATATTCCCTGAATAACTCGGCGGTGCGTGGCTATTGAGGGAAGGCGAATCAATGATCCCACCAAGGAAGTAGCCAAGAAAAAAAAAAAGTATTTGATACATCTTAAACAAAGCACAGACAGCTTAATGCTTGATCAAGCGTCCCAACAGGTAGAAAGAAAAAAAAGGAAATGTTTGCTCAACAAGCAGGAAAGTATGTCGCTCACATGTGCCGCCTCAACATTCAGTCATGAAGATTAGCCATTGTGCTCAGATTTGGTTTTGGTTACCATGGGAACCCCCTGAAATCCTACCTCGGGAGGGGCAGAGCGGAACTTTAAAGTTCAGCAAGGAGTCATTTTCCCCCACTTTTGCCGGCTTACGTCGCTTTTGATGCGGGTTGCCGTGTGTATCATCTCGCTGGAGTGTCATCGGCTTTCAAATGCTGCCTTTCGTAGTTCTGACTTTTTTTTCTTTTTTCTCTCCTAACATGCTTTTCTTCTCACTGGCGCGGCCGTAAGAAGATACGTATCCGATGCGTCGCTAATGCAAGGCCTCCCTTGAGGCAGTCAGCAACTGACCGCCGTTTGACCACATTTCTCTTTGAATGCACGAACCCGGAATTGTACTCATGAATGGTCTCCAACAGCCCGAGGGTTCGTCTGACTTGACAACAAAGGCACGAGTGACAGTTAGAAGCCACGGACAATCTTGCTTCGTACCGAGCAGCTTTGATTTAATCCGGCGCGGATGCTCAGGTGCCAAATGAATTTATTGGTCACACCGCTACAGTTAGTGAATGAGATGATGCACGTCTTCATGTGACATTTGAAGGGGACTTCGGCAAATTTATTGTCATGCTGGTGCGTGTTCCACTGGGCGTGACTGAACTGAAACTGGACGTTTATATTAACCCTAGTTTGGTCCAAAACTTGAAGGTACGAGTATCCTGCATGGGGGGAGTGAAAAGTTAAAAAAGTTTTTTTTTTTTGAATGTGTTTCTTTATGCACCTTATACAGCTCTAATTTTGGGTACAGGGACATCGTGCACAACTTTACTGAAATATTAAGCGCCTCATAAATTAATTAATTTATTCATTTATTTATTATTATGACTAACTGCGCAGCGGTGGGTAAGATAGGTGTTGGTAATTTCATTGACGGGGGGAGCATGAAGGTGGATCTGACGGCGGGCGGGCTGCTCCACTGAGGGTGTGTTTCCAGCCGACTCTCATTCCCTTTGAAATGTGGTGCGCTCACAGTCCTGCGCGGCGACACGACACCATTCGCCGTGCGAAAGAGGGCGAACAGACAAGGGGAGCGGGGAACAACGACTTCAAAATGTCCGTGGAGCTCGGTGTCGAATGTTGTGACAGCGGTCCTCCAATCGCTGTGACATTGTCTGACCGGGTGTAAATTTCGATTTCGTGGTAATACATGAGGCGGCCCGGTACTCCAGTGGTTAGCGCGTCGACCTCACAGCGCAGAGGTAGCGGGTTCAATTCCAGCTCCGGCCTGCCTGTGTGGAATTTGCATGTTCTCCCCGGGCCTGCGTGGGTTTTCTCTGGGTACTCTGTGTTTCCTCCCGCATTCTAAAAACATGCATGGCAGGCTGATTGAACACTCGAAATTGTCCCTAGGCGTGAGTGCGAGCGTGGATGGTTGTTCGTCTCTGTGTGCCCTGCGATTGGCTGGCAACCGGTTCAGGGTGTCCCCCACCTACTGTACAAAGACAGCTGGGATAGGCTACAGCACCCCCGCAACCCTTGCGAGGATAAAGCGGATCGGAAAATGGATGGATGGATGGTAATACATGAAAGGCTGTGCCAGATAAGAATGTTAAAAGGTTACGCAAACTTTGCCGGAAAAAAAAAAAAATCATGAAGGTTTTATGATGGTGACGGTTTGTTTTCACTCCATTGTAATAAAGCCGGCTGCAATTAGACACTGATTAACAGAAGAGGAGTCCCTTAATGTCGACTGTCGCACAGTTCTGTGCTTGTCTCATCAAAAATGGAACTCTCATGTCAGAATGGCCGAGCTCTCGTTTTTTTTTTTTCCTAATTATTTCCATCCGAGCGTCTGAGCCAGCATGCCGCGAGCAAGCAAATTGTGAGCAGGTGCACATCAGCACATAGCATAGCCACACTCCGATTATCTTAAAAATCCCAGCTAGGCTTCCTCCTACCTTGAAATTGGCTCTTTTTGAGGCTCACCTTCCCGGTGTAGAAAGAAAGATTTTATTTGCGGTTTTTCCGAGAGAGATTGTCAGTTTCTCCGCGTTTGTAGGTGTGACAAGCTCACGCTGAAGTCTCGGTGCACAAAATTAGCGCCCTTTAACCAACGACAAAGGCGAAATCAGCAAAACACATTTTAGCGTTCCAATTTGAACGGACAGATTACGTTTGCTGTAATTCCCGCGAAATGAGGTGCGATTGCTTCATTCCACAGTTGGTTGCTCCAAATATTGTACAACATGTTTACGGGTGTCATTTCACATGAAAAATAAAATGAGCAATTATTTTTACATTCATGAAAGTAGCATGGTGGAACACCCTCCAAGCCCCCACACCCCCAAATGTGATTCGATATTCTCATTCAAGCCATCTACTTAAGGAAGAGCTTTCTGGAAATGAGGAGACTTGTTCCAGCTCGTCCCGAGCTCTTCGGATGATCCTTAATTCAATTCCCGAGGTTCATCTGCGCAATTGCACCCGTGTAAAGGAAAACGAATGGCATCCATCAGTGGATACGAGGACTTCTTTTTAGCAACATCGCGCGTCCTGACTTTGAACTCCTGTAAGAATTTATTGCATGCATCGGCCGTAAAAGCCCGTCATTTAACTTTGAATTGTTTTTTTGTTGTTTGTTTTTTTTTCTTCTTCAGCCTCTGATGCCAAAGAGCAGCACTATTGGGTTAGCCAGCTCCAAGCGTGTGCCAGGCGACATTCAGACTGCAGTGCCAAGGTAAAAATAAACAAATAGGCCACAAATAGCTTCCGCCGCTCAACAAATGTCTTGTTCAGGTTTGTGAGTTCAGTGCTTTGACACTCGACAATCAACGGCCTGTTTGTGAAATCTTTGCACTCCATCTTCCTTTCTTTTTTTTTTCTTTTTTTTTTTTTCTCTTTCTTCTCCCGTCCGTGTCTGTGTGGTTATCAGGTCAGGAAGTTGAAGGGCTCGGATGAACACCTGAGTGCAGAAGTATCCGGAGGAGGACAAGATGTGCTGGTGAGTCACGACAAAATAAACACACATACCGACTTTCTTATTAAAGATGCACGGTACTTCATTTCACCTCATAACGTCTCGTGTGTGTGTGTGTGTGTGTGTGTGTGTGTGTGTGTGTTGCGATGTACTCTCCTGTGACGGCTCGTATTGTCACGCGCTTATTAAGGATCATTGTTTAGCTTTTCTCAAGACCAGACATCTGCTGGGCCTGATGGAGGTGAATGACGAGGAGGAAATAAATCTGCCAAACAACTCAAAAGTGTAATTCTGTCTTGCCGTCTGCACGCTGCATCTCGAGTAGGCCCCCCCCCCTCCCCCCTCTGATTGTTGACTGCTACTCTGCCTACGTGGATGCTCTGCTACCTCTTGGGTGTAAAAAAATATATATCTGGGGCAGAAAAAGGAAATTGTGGGGGTGCTCGTCAGGAGAACTAACTTGCTGTTTGCATTGTCGTGGAAATTTAGCGAAGAAATTGAAACGGAGTATCAAATAGGCAAATCCATGAACTGATTAAGAGGTACGAGAAATGGCATGAAAGAAAAGTGCAACATACTGTCGCTGTTAAATGCAACCGGGGATGTTTTCTTGGTACTTTTACCGTAATCTTTGCAAGAGCCAGTGCTTCAATTTATAGAACCGGCCGCTATCGGAAGTATCAGGACCCATGCTTGAAACCACTTTTCGAACCCTCTGCAGCACATTTATCTCCACATTGCTTTGATATCCAATGCTGGATGTAACAAAGCAGCCCCAGAACATTTTTTGTCATGCATCCTTGTTTATGATCATTAAACTACAGTACGTTTCCAGTAAATCTCAACAGTCTTGGCAGCCACCAGATGTTCCAATGGTCAAAAATGTAGACGGTACACTTATGTAAACAGGGCAAATTAAGATCAATCGCTGATAGTCAAAGATCCTTAATCACCTGCTTAGTTTTGGGATTACTGCAGAGCAAGCGGCATGACCGTCGCTGATTGTTTGCCCATCAGTGAGCAGTGCTGTGTTGTGCAAGCTTGATCAATTTTGTTTTCACCGGCACTCTAAACCAGACCTCCGTTATCTAGGAGCAGATCGTCTCTGGTGCCCTGTTTCCCTGTCCACTGAAGGGAAAATAAAAGACAGACGTGCGAAGATAACTAGTTTGAGGTGACTGTGTGGTTTTTTTTTGCACAGAGGGAGTCACGCTGATAAGGAAAGTCTCACAGAGAGGGTCAAAGGAAACATCAGTGAATAATATGGATTGAAACTGTGGATGAGTCATGCATATTTACATTTGCATAGTGTTGACTTGATTGAGAATGCAAAAACGTACGGAAACAGTGACCAGTTGGGACGTTAAGATTTTAGAGAAGGGCAATTTAATTTCACCTCGCGAGATGAGTGCTTTTCGGTTCATCCTTAAATTTCACCTAAAAGCCCCGAATTAGAGATGTTTGATACCACTTTTTTCAGACTGATACCACTCATGAGTCGTCACCCAATAACATTCCCAAGTCCCGATATCACTTTTTTGTCCTTTGTGATGCATGTTAGGATGTCAGATAATTTTTGTGAGGCAAATGGATCAGTCGTTGGTATCGGCATCCGTCGCGAGAACCCGATACGTTGACGTAAAGCCGGTATCGGCCTAATATCTGGTATCGGTACTCACAAATCCGTCATAAATACTCATGAGATCAAAAAGAGAAGTCAATAAATGCACAAAAGACAAAAAGACTGTCTCAGACGTTCATTTTCTGTATTTTTATTTATTTTTTTGTCTTTTCTTTAGGGCTCCTCATCATCTGGTCGCAACCGTAGCTTCTCCCTCCTCCCACACCTCACGCCGACTTCATCACCGGCTTCTCAGAGGCAACTGGCCCACACGTCTTCGCCGGGCAACATCGTCACAATCACGCATCACAAGTCGCCGGCTGCGGCGCGGCGGGCCAAGAGTCAGTACCCGGGACGGCTGATGGAGGTCAAAGAGGTGTGTTGCCCAAAAATATGACACGGTTGACCTGAAATCCCCAAATTGCTAAAGGTCTTGTAAATGATCGCGATGATTTCTTGTCAGGCGACACTACGAATCATGCGCCAAGCCGTCTTTATGATCTTTTTACGACAGCGGTTGTGTAAAATTGGGCCTGACTCAAATCACTTGTAATGGAAGCTCAGATAAGGAAGCATTTGAAAGTTTCCCAGTTTGACTCCATCTTGTGCGGCGCTTTTCTTTTCAAGTACTCCTCCGGCCACCCTTCAAAGTCGCGCGGTCGCTCGCACCTTCCGCCGGGCGTCGGCAGCATCATCTCGCGAGGAATATCTCCTCCAAGTGATTCGCCGCGTTGACAGAAAGAGAGCATCTTGCCGTCAAGTGAATGCAGACTCCTTTCTCATCTCCGCCTCCATTTCGCGTCAACCTGCTGCAGTCTGGGTGAATACTGAGCAGATGGCGTGTTCATTAAGTAAAACAAACACTCCTCTGGTGCTTGTGTTTCCACGTCAAACCCAAGGCAAAAAAAAAAAAAAAAGTCCTTTGTGAATTGTGATTCACCCTCTGTTTGGCTTCACACTCGCCTGACCTGATTTCTACTGCGGCTGCCGTCGGGAGGGGTGATGCTGACCGTGCAGGAGTACGCGTCTATTGTCGTTTCTATCCCAGGGCACCATCAAGAGACAAAAAAAGCCACCGTGTGATTTTTATGGGCAAATTTTACTGTTAGGATGTTGCGTGGCACATTTTCTGGTCACGTTCACTCTTGCTTGGCTCCTTCACGCAGGCGTGAATTTGGACGTGGTTTGTCTTGTCAGCTTGACCTTCAGCCACTTTCACTTAACCTTGCAGGCAGAAAGCCAACACTGATGCACAGTCGGGTTTTCTGCTCTCTTAACTCCACGGCCTATTAAATACGCACAAACAACAACAACAAAAATGCTCACGACTGTAAGTCCCATTTCCATTTTATGGGGAAAATAATAGCCGCCGCTTAATGACGAAGGAAATAAATTACACAGCTCATGATTTCTGTGCCCTGAGAACCAT